CCCTGCAGTACAGTACAGGACACAAGTAACTTATTCATACACCATGGGTAATAGGCCTGTACTTTCATGTGATGGCACACTGGAAAGCTGTACAGAACATGCCCCTCTGGATAGCGCCTCCCCAACCACCCGCCTCTACGTTCTAAGCTTTGTAGCAAGCAATGCAGAGTAAGTGTATTGCGAGGGTAGCCTCTGTCCTGTACTACAAGATATGGAATTTACAGGCAAGTCAAAATTCTTCATCTTAAAATCGCACAATACAGGACACAAGCAACTTATTTATACACCGTGGGAGGTCCTAAAGCAATGCATAAAAGTGTGGGCAACTAGGTAACAGAACTGTGCCAACAGTCCTACCCACCACAACAGAGTTAAAAATTACCCAAGGTTCAGAGAGGTGCTGCAAGAGCCTTATGGCTGAAACTTGCACAATAAAAATGGCAAAAGATGTACCTGGTAACTTGATAGTAGGAACAAAAAAAAACAGGTAACGATTAACAGAGTTGGCTGATCCTGGGCTTTTAGTCTTTAAACTTCTAACGGTTGTGGTGGAGTGTGCACATAACAGCGCAAGAGAAGGTGTCTGATTTGAACATAAGCTTTGGCGAGTAAACACCTCACCCAATAAGCTTGGTAGGTCTGGAAGCAGAGTGCCCTTTGTGAAGGTTGAAGGAAACACAAACAAGAATGTTGATTGTTGGAATCAGAGAAAACCTTTGGGTATGTTCTAACAGTTTTGGCAACAGGCAGACAATGTAGAACTGCCTTTCTCAATCTTTTTAATACAGTGGAGCCCTTGAAATAACATTCCAGTCTCAGGGAACACCAGCTACAAATTACTATATCTACAACTTGCGATACATTCATGTGATGATCAGTGGCAAGAATGCTCCTTACTTGTGGCCATTGGGAAGATTTACCCCTTTAAAGCTAAAAAGATCAATGGTGTCAGTGGAAACGGAGAGGCCAAAGTTGCTCATTGTCCAAGGAATCCCCAGCAACCTCTGTAGGAACCCTAGGGTTCCATGGTACCCTGGTTGAGGAACCCTGATGTAAAGAAACCTCCTACCATCCTTGTGTCCTGTTCCTAAGCATCTTAAGAACGAAAGAATGTTATCACTATGAATTATGAGTCAGCGCTCTTAGCAGGGAGAGTCGCCAGTTCTAAGATACATCAAATATAGGCTATGGTTTGGAACAGGCTACCATGTTAGCCAGGGATTCTCAGAGTGTGTTCCTAGTGAATGCAAGGGTGGTTTCTGCAAGGAAAAAAGAACTGTGTTAAGGACTCCAGGTCGCACAGGGTGAAACAAGGGGGGCCTGATACAAGAAGGAACTTTAATAAGGTTCTTGTGCGGCATGACAAGCAAGAGGGTCTTAGAAATGATGCATAAAAGCTAAAATCTGACCTGTTAGGGTGTTCAGAGATAGATTCTGGTTTGATCTGATTAGTGGGGCTAGACTAGACAGAGTAAACTTTGGACTTCAATATACTTCTCTAAATTCAGGCTAAATAAGATTTTCAGCACCATATTAAAAGCTGTTGAATTTGGCTTTTTCTTGCCTCTAGCAAAGCAGCATTGAGAAAGTCAGAGATCCCTTTATTCCTTTGGATCTGCGTTTCAACAGCTTTGGCTTAAAAACTAGAGGCTGTGAAGACTGGTGAAATAGAAGGCCTTGGTCAAAAGATGCCAGGGGTCTTCTGTAAGAAGCCTGAAGAGGGGTCTGTACCAAGATGGTTTTGACCAATAAGGTATTTGAAGATCACTCCTACGCTATATGATGGAGTAGAGGAGTTAATTGCTGAGTGCAAGAAAGGAGTGGTTTGAACTTAAAGAAGATGATAGTTAGAACATCCGAGAGCAGAGTCAGAGCATCCGTGGCATGAGAAAGAAAGAAGGTTAACTTCTTCTGGTAACTGGAGATTAGGATTCCCACTTCCAGAATCTCCTAAGTTTGGCATAATACACCATATATATCTGGATGAAGATACTACTTTTCTTGAACCAGAAGGGCGTTGGCTGAATAAATCCACCTAGCACCTGTCCACTCCTAAGATTTGGACTGGAGAAATTAGTGTACAATGAGTGTTTGTCCACCAGAGAAAACAAAACTGGCTTGCTCCATATTAGGCAGCTAAACCACTTGTAAACCAAAGATTGACCATTTGTTGGTCAATTGTCATTATGGTGACATTGACGAACGGTACCATAATTTGGTGTCCCTCCAGAAGGGGAGGGTCCAGAGTTGGAGAGATATCTCGATCACTCTGAGCTCTAGGGTGTTGTGAAGAGAATGGGCTCACTCTTGATTATGTTTCTTAAACTGACAAAGACTGGGAGATTTGCTACTGAGGCAGGAAGACTGTCTGTAGGAATTTTCCACCTGTATAGGAGGAAATTTTTTTTCCCCCCATTATTTTGAAGTAGTGATCCACCTAGCTAAGGAGTTTATAATTTCAGGGGATAGGGGGATAGAGTCTAAGGTAAAACCATATAAGACCCTGCTTTTTAGGAAGTTCCTTTTTTTGAAAAAAAGGCCTGTATGCGAGAAGAATCTAGAATAAAATCAAGATACCTGGGGTGAATGAAAAGCTGTGGAACATTTATGCAACTGCATAATAAGTCTCAGAAAGTGACATCTCTGGCCTGATAAGCCTTTCAGATGCATGATTTTCTAACACTTTCAAGTTTTACTGAACAGATAAATACAAGGTAACATGCTCAAAACGCAACAGGCTTTAGATATTTTTCAACAATTTAGCTTTAGCAAGTGCAAATGTATTATGAATAAGCCAATGTATTAATGGATTCCAAATGAATGCTGATAACACAAAATTCTGGCATTGCTCTGTACAGAAAAGGCTATGGAGGGTTTTTTTCAAACAGAAAACCTCCTTGATTTGGCAGATTGGCAAGACACTTTTTCACACTGGGAAAACAAACAGTAGTTGGCATTAAACTCAGTTGATTAGTGTATAAATAAAAACACAACTATAAAGAAGAACTGCAGTTCAAAGCTGACCTGAGAGGTAAATAAAATTGTCTAGAAGGATATCCCTGTAAAAGGTATTGCATTTTTACCTCTCCCGCTGCTGAACGGTATTCAGTTTAAGTCCCTCTGCCTATTTACACATTGCTACTGTATTAAATGGGGGTTGACTGGTGGAGGCACTAAGAGAAAGGCCTAATTACAACCAATTTTTAAAACAGCTGGCTAGGAGAATTTGGAATGCATATACTACTACTACTTATATAGCGTCGTCAACTTAGGCAGTGCTTTATGTATATACATTCACATCAATCCCTAACCCTCAAGGGGCGTACAATCGAAGGTCCCTAACTCACATTCATACATACACATACTAGGGCCAATTTGGACAGGAGCCAATTAACCTACCAGCATGTCTTTGGAGTATGGGAGGAAACCCACGCAGGCATAGGGAGAACATGCAAACTCCAGGTAGGTGGTGCCATGGTTGGAATTCGAACCAACGATCCTAGTACTGCCAGGTGGAAGTGCTAGCCATTGGTACTGCACAATTATTGCAAGGAAGCAGCCTTTCAGGAGAAGATCACATCATACATCAGCTGGCCACACCTATAGAACAGGTGAAAAAAAGTAGCTAGAGTAGTTTTTGCAGTATACACAAGGGAGGTGAGTGTACACCTGTGGCCTCTACTACCCTGCTTAAACTACTGTATATCTAAAGCACCCCCCCCCAGCCCCCCATTTTGGGTAGACTAGGGAATGGTAGAAACCCCACTCAGGTTTACTGTAATTTGTGTCCCAGTAGAAATATTTCACTGTACCAAACAGAATGGTCACTGGATCGAGTGCTTCCTTTCAAAGACTTAATTTCGATTCCTGCTTCTGGTGTCCTAATTTAGTATTTTCCCTTTCTTTGCACAGTAGGTATACAGACAGCACAAAAGCCTAAAAGCCTGAGAAACAGTTTAAAACACTTCACCACTCTATCCAAAAAAAAAGTTTAAAACCTGTCTTTATATGCACTAAAATATTGCAAAATGGTGTAATGGTGTCACCAACAGCTCTACTTCTTTCCCTGAAGAAAGGGAGGATCTCCCTGCACCTAGCAATAGCTTCAGGATTGATGTCACTCCCAAGGGTGGGACTTTGACAGAGTGCAGCGATCATCCTCCAACCCAATATTGATCCAGTGACCTCAGCTGTTATCCATGGCTGTGTAATCAGTAGAAGTAACTGGCTGCCTCCATACATTGCTATTCTGCTTTACAGAGTCCCTTTTTTGAGAGTGCTTTTTATGAAGATTTACAACGTTTTACTACGTTTTAACCTACACTATAGGAACCTTTGAGCTGTTCTCTCTGCTTGTGTTTTTTGATGTACCTGGAGCTCCCCGCTCTGGGTTGTCTAGCTGTATTGGACTCATTTCAGTGTTAAGTTATTTTGTCTAGTGCATGGGACTAGCCTTCGATATGGCTTCATAATTCAAGATTTTAGTTTCTTGTTTAACTTTTGTTATATTATTTCATTTTGTATTGAATTTGTTTTTAATCCCTACCTGTTACAGGTTAAGTCATTACTGATAACACAGCATTCCTACCCCCTATATCTGCACATTCACTTTTGTACGGTGTGTCACTGGTCATTTGCCATTCTGTTTGTCTGGCAGGTTAATCACTAGCTTTTTTCTGTTTAACCACTAGCCTACAGGGCACTTATACCCCCTTCCTGCCCAGGCCAATTTCCAGCACTCAGCGCTGTCACACTTTGAATGACAATTGCACGGTCATGCAACACTGTACCCATATGAAATTTTTATCATTTTTTTGTGACAGATAGAGCTTTATTTTGGTGGTATTTAATCACCTCTGGGATTTTTATTTTTTCTTAAACAAACCAAAAACCACTGAAAATTTTGAAAAAAACACAAACGTTTTTTCTTAGTTTTTGTTATAAAATTTCGTAAATAAGTGATTTTTCTCCTTCACTGATGTGTGCTAATTAGGCTGTAGTGATGGGCACTGATAAGATGCACTGATGGACATGGATAGGTGGCACTGATGAGGAGGCACTGGTAGGTGGCACTGATGGGCATTGACAGGCAGCACTGATATATGGCAATGATAGGCGGCACTGACTGGCAGCACTGAAAGGCAGCTCAGATGGGCACTGATATGTGTGGCATTGATGTGGCACTGGCAGGTGGCACTGTTCAGCACTGACAGCTGGCACTGATGGACACTGACAGGTGGCACTTCTGGGGCCACACTGATCATCAGTGCCCTGATGATCAATGTACCGATCCCCTCCGCGGAATGCCGATTACCGGCTCTCCTCTCGAGCTGTCAGCGTGACAGCTTGAGAGGAGAGAAATGCAGATAACCGGCATTTCCCTGTTTACATGTGATCAGCTGTGATTGGACACAGCTGATCACATGACCGAACTGACATCTTCGGCTCTTTCCGTAGATCGGTGATCCACACAGCGCACCGCCGATCGCCGGGCTGCGCGCTCCCTGAGCCAAGCATGCGCGGTGAGAATGGAAGGACGTCATATGACATCCTATCAGAACGAGAGAACCACCTTGCGCCCATCATTGGACTATATGGCAGGTGGGATGTGGTTAAGAATCATTTCCTTTATACAAACCATCAAGCATTATTCAGCAAGGTATTGGCAGGAAGCAATGAGGATGTTCATAAAAACTGTAGAAAATTAAAAGCAACCATATTTCGAATTTCAGTTGTTACATGATATCTACAATGATTTCTAGTTGGCTGCTATGCAGTACTTTGCACATTATCATAAGCCTTCATGCATGATCTTTTGGCAACAAATGTCTAATTTTATGGATATTTAAACTTTCATATTAAAGTGTAACCAAAGGCCATTTTTTTTAAGCTCTGGATAGAGTGGAAAGGGATTAGAACATGTCAGTTTTACTGCTTTCTGTACCCTGATAGGGAGATTCACCCCTCTATTTGCCCTGTTTACTATAATTACCGAAGTGAAAGTAAAAGAAAATCCCGAATTTTGGGTTGACACCAGACATCTTCCTACGGGGACATCAGGTTCTGGTGACCCTGGTAAAGTTACTTTAAATTTACTTAATGTGGGGGGAAAAAAAAAAAAAAAAAAAAAAAAAAAAGAAAGAAAAAAAGGCACCAAAATGTATTAAAGAATGTGGACAAAGACATGGGCACGAGGTTTGCAACAATTATTTTGCTATTTTTGTAAAACGGTTTAATATTTCCAAATTACAATTGGATAACAAATACATCCCAGTAAGAAACATTTAAAACACAAAAAAAAGTTCCAAGATTACCGTTTAAATTTGGATTGCTACTCACAAAAAAATAGAAGGAATAGAAGGGCCATAAATGAGCTGGGGGAAGGGTTCCTGCATTTATTAAAAAGAAGCAATAACCTTTCCAACAAGGAGGTGTGAATATGTCATGCACACTGCAAGACAAAGGCAGTTAACTGGACCCTCATAAATGCATCTTATTGCAGGCTAACACTACAGTGTGAGATTTACTTTGCTTGAGGTGGAATTTTGTGAGATGGTGATCGGATGGAGGCTTAGCACGAGGGCACACCTGGGAGGGTCAAACATATACATTACAAGGGACTCTATAAAGTTAAGAATTGTTTGATTAGATAAAAGCAGTTACTCTCCCCCTACTCTTCTATAGGTTGGTCAGTTCTGCAAAACAGCAGAAGAACCTGTATCCAAGCCCACAAACTTACAGAAAAAAACAAAACACCGCTTTAGAAGTCAATGTAATACCCACACAAAGGTTATGACTTGTTTACACACTATATATAGTTTTCACAGAACACTGAACAATGTGCCTATACAACGCATCTGCAAATAGTAAAATGCCCAACTAAAGAAAGAGAACACATATGGTACAGTAACATCCGGTTTGTTATTTCTTGCTACATAAACCAAGGAAGCCTTTGTGCTATTAAGCTGTAAACTAAGGTCAAACCTATAATCATTTGTGTTACAACAGAGTTTAACATCAGGGAGATGATGAGGATGACCTCAATATGCTATAAAATGTTATCAAAACATTTTATGCATCTGGGAGAAGAAAAGGCATAGAGGAGTCATTTTCACATTTTGTGGTCAAATAGTTTTTTAGCTAATGAATTCTTATTTCCAATTACTACACAATTCCAAACAACTACATTTCTGCACCTACGTGCCTTTAAACAAGTGTTATGACAGCAGACAACAATTGTATACTTAATTCATATTTTGTAGAGTCAACATTTTCAAACTATAAAATTAAAATCTCATAACACAGTGACTATAAGCCTGATTTACAAAAACAGAATAGTGTGCAATATATGGTGACCATTTCAGAACACAGATGGGGAAATTCACTAGCTGTGCTATAAATTCTTGAAACGTTAAAATAAACATTACCAAAAGTTGTTTCTGGTGCTAAAACATATTCTGTGTGCTATGCTCACTTTAGATCCCACAAATCAGTGTTTGGGATTGCCTGGATTCTTATTCTCCAAGCTGAAAACTTTGTAAATGGAATGCACTACAATGTACTGCTGGTATTCCCTGTTCTTCCTTTTCCAGTTAAAACATAATTTTAATGAAAAAGCATAACCTGCACTAAAAATTTATGTAATGTGTTTTTTTTTTAAGTTCATAAAGTTATCAATTACTGGCCTTCCCATTTGCTTGTAGGAAAAGCAGTTCCAAAATGTTTCTTAATGTGGCATGCCCTCATGCTCAAACATTGACACACAAGAAAAAACGAAAGCATGGTCTGGTTTTTAGCAATTTTAAAAAAGGTGCTTGTATTGAGACTTGACGACTTTTGTGTCATGCATATCATAGTATCAGACCTGACCAGAGTAAGGGCTTATTCCCTTCAAAACACAAGCCAGATTTTGGCCACATTGGGGTTTATTTACTAAAGCTGGAGGTGCAAATTCAGGCTCACTTCTGCATAGAAACCAATCAGTTTCCAAGTTTTATTGCCAAAGCTTAACTGCACAGGTTAGAAGCTGATTAGTTTCTATGCAGAAGTGAGCCTGAGTTTGCACTCTCCAGCTTTAGCAAACATACACAATTTTGTCTGTGTATTTTCATACATATACTTGGTGTGGTTGAACCCTAAAATGGAAGTCTGGGTTGCACATGTCCTGAACTTTGTGTGTCTAAAAAGATAATGGTCATATACTTACGTTGTCATGAAACTAGGCTGTTTTTGTGTTATACTTTAAATACAAAAACTTTGTCATGCAGAAAACTAATAATCCTTTACCTTTTTTGTGACGGAAGAAACGCTGAGACCGAACCTTTGCGCTCTCTCTTTAAGTTTATCAACATTCACCTAGAAGAGAAATAATTTTCATGAACACAAACGTTTGTTTATGATAGGGAATATTTTAAGGAAAAGAAAAAATCCATCATGGCCAGCACAGTTGCTAAGTGGCTAGCACTTCTCTGCCTAGCAGCACTAGGGATGTTGGTTCAGATCCCAACCAGGGCACTACCTGCATGGAGTTTGCATGTGCTCCCTGTGCCTGCAAGGGTTTCCTCCATGTACTCTAGTTTTCTCCCACACTCCAAAGACATGCTAGTAGGTTAATAGGCTTCTGTCTAATTTGGCCATAGTATGTGTAGTGAGTTGAGGAACTTAGATTGAATGCTCCTTGAGGATTATGGACTAATGTGAACATATAATATGTAAAGTGCTGCCTAAATTGACAGCGCTATATAGGTACCTGTAATAAATAAATCATGCTGAAAGAATCCTATAATGCTACGTTTAAAAACTTTACCCCCCCAAATAACTGCTACAAATCTATACAATTGAGTGTGACAATTATGTAACATATACCCCAAGTCTAAATATCCATTTTTACTTTTCAAAGTAAAAATTGATGTTAATTGCATTCTTTTAGACTATGGGTGGCAACAGTGAAAACTTACCAAGGATTTTACTCCTGTGGTCTGCCCTAAAAAAAAAATAAAAAAATAAAATGGTGATTTAGTAGAACAGGCACAAAACCTGTGAATAAATGAAACACTAATACTTGAAGCAATACAGCAACACAATCACTGATTCTGAAGACTGACAAATCCATTCTTACTCTCACCTTTCTGATCAGTGGCAGGAAGGCCAAACCTTACAAGAAAACAAAGCAAAAAGAGTGAGCACACGTACCAGAGAACATTTAAATACAAAGTTGTGGTTGCAGTACATTAGAGAATAATTATCATAAATTGTCTGCATGTGCTGCATATGCAAAAACTCCAAAGTAACACACATAAGAGACTTACCGTACAGCACGAGCTGCCTTTTTGCTATCCAAGTTGGCAGGAACATTAAATCTTTCAGCTCTTTTCTGAAGTCTCTGTAAAAAAAACAAACAAAATACAAACCCAGCATTTAAGACATTTGCTCTGCAACATTTAATTCTGATGAAACATTGCTTGAGTGTGACCACCTAAACAAAATATTGCTCTGCACAGATCAATACGAATCCCAATAAGGTCACATACATATGGTACATATGTTTGCAATTCCCTTCTACAAAGTAGAAAAGTACAGAACTGGAACCAAAGAGGTCCTCCACTTCAACAAGTGGAAAACTCCAGGATATGTTGTACAACCTGAAACCCTGACCAATTACTTGATCACAGTGTAAAGCAGTTTTAAGACCCCTTCAATGCTTGGTACAACTACTTTTTTATTTTAAAATTTAGTTTTAGAGAAAAAAAAACCCCTTGGGCTTCTAGAGTGAAGGCTGCCATAGCGAACTCCCTCCTGACAATGTTAGGGCTGGCTACCATGCTAAACCCTCTAGCTAGCCGTCAATGTGAGACAAGTAACAACCAAGTGAAGTTAAAACTTCTGATCTATATACAGATTGAGGGATACATAAGTAGTCATCGAGAGGAACAACATGACAGCCAGGAAATAAGCAATAGAAGGAAATAAAAGGACAACAGCCTGCATATTTCTCTCATGGCAGGTTTCTTTTAAGCAGCCTCTGAGTTAATTTTGTATACTACATGTGCAACTGATCTACTGTGGACACAGAAGAGAAAACCTTTAAGATTTCCACAGTCCTGTTGAACCAGCATTTAGTTGTTTTTACCAAATAAGGGCCACAAAATATGAAATAATGTTGTAAAAAATGTCAATAACATTTGCAGATAGTATGAGGTAGTTATGATAATGGCATACAAGAAAGAGATTTTCTCTCATGCACAAAGATTACCGCCTTTCCAAAAAAATCCCACATAAAAAAATCAGTTATTCTGTTACCTAGTTTATCTTCCCATGGGCAACCAATAGAGAGGAACAGCCTGCAGGGCAATATTACACAAATCTTAAAGATTTCAGTTTCCTAAACAGGGGTGTACCTTTAGGTCTAAGTTGGTATTGGTAGTTTTACTGATCTCTAGGTTACTTTCAAAAGTTTTTTTGTAAAATGTAGCAGTCTAAAAAAGGCACTGACTGAATTAGATCAGTCATTTACAGTCAGTGTAATACTACAAATCAATTTCTTACATCAGCCTGAGGCACCCCACTTGTTATCTTCACCACTTTCTTCGCGGTTTCTCTGTACAAAGCAGAAGACAATAGATTAAGACACATCATCTTTAAAGATTCAAAATGTGAAAGCAGATATTTATTTAATCTTTAATATATCATTGTAGTGTGAAGCTTTAAATTGAGATGCTTGGGCAGCATGCATGATCTTTTTATGTAAATGGAAGTCAGTTCATGGTAAAGCAAAGGCCAGGACCACTTAATTTAGTACATATGCAACATGTGTTTCCACAGCAACTCTTGAACAATTTTTCAAACTGCCAGAACTTCTAGATTAAACTGTGGCAAGGTTCAGGTTCACCAAGAGCAGGATCTTGACAGCCCATCCATTTGGAATGAAGTCTAGCAAATTAACTAGGAGGGGCCACATAGGCTGTGTACAGGTATTTCCTTCATTCTGAAAACAGGGAGCATCATCTGGAAGTGAAGGTTGTCTTTCCCAGAAGAAAGATATTCAGCAAGCAATAATTTCATTTGAAGCAAGCGGACAAGAGTGTCACACTTGTCCCTATGGCTGTGACATAAGGACATTTTCTTTCTAGGAAGTTCCCAGGCTTTACAGCAAAATGAAAGTCAAGTAGTGTCAGGTCCTTAAAAAGCTTTCTCCCATAAAGTGTGGGTCATAAGGGCCCCATAAAGGCAGAGGTGCTCACTCAGGGGGAACACTGCAATGCTTTTGTTCCAAAATCTTGGAAGAAGTTTTTCCCATGGGGCAGTAAAAGGTTTAACAACTTTCACAGGAAGCACAGTGGGGTCATAGGACAGGACGTGCCATTCCACACACCCCAGAGAAGTCAATACGCACGGCAACTTTTAGGACTCATCAAAAGGCATTTTAAAATGTGCCATTTTCTTTGTGTCCATAGTTTAGTTTTGTAACATCAGGTCACAAGGCAATCTGTCCACTCCAAACAACATGACCACCATGGCTGTCCTTTCTGAGCCCTTGCTAATTAAAAAGGACAACTGTGACTCTTGGGGGAAGAAAAAAAAAAAAAAAAAGCCTTACAAGAACACCTGCTCAACTTGACCACATCACCTGCAAACAAGTGCTGCATCACAACACAATTGTCACAAAGAGTAAGAAATACGCACCTACAATAATAATCCTACAAGATGAAAGATCCTTTTTGAAGACACTGTAACAACCAGGTTCTTTTATTAATGCATGCATGAAACCCATTACCAAGCCATTAAGGAGTATAAACATATTTGACACTTATGTTTTTCTCTTAATTTCAAATCATTAGATATATTTTTTACAACCATTAGGCTAGGTTTACATCTGTGTGGGTGCAGGAATGTGTTTAAATTGCACACACTCTCGCAGTGGCACGGAAAACGTGCTGCTCCTTCCCACACATGGAAACGCATGGGGGTTGATTTACTAAAACTGGAGAGTGCAAAATCTGGTGCAGATCTGCATAGAAACCAATCAGCTTCCAGGTTTTATTGTCAAAGCTTAATTGAACAAACTGAAGTTAGAGGCTTATTGGCTACAATGCACAGCTGCACCAGATTTTGCACTCTCCAGTTTTAGTAAATCAACCCCATTGTGTCAAAGCATCATGAGGTTTCCATGCGCCCGCGTTTTTAAAAAGTTGCATAGAAGAAGGACTATTCATACAGAAAAGATCAGAAAATGTCTTAATTTCTGATGACATACATGTACACAGTTCAAAATACACTTGTCTACACAGAGTAAATACAAAGACTGAAGTAAAAGTACAGTATGTAAATTATCAGCGTTTTAGAAATACCGATAATAAATAAATCAAACTCATGCCTGTGCTTCAAAAATCCAATAAGAGATGAGAAGAGGGAGAGCAATTCTGCAGCCCTAATGCATTTCTTTCCTTCAAAACACCCCCCACCCAAAAAAAAAACAAAAAAAAAAAACAAACAACTAATGCAGACACCACACCTTACAACTGGTAATATTTACAATGCAATATATTATATAGTTCCTGGGTTTGAATATACATTATGGGTTATGAAGCATCGTGAAACCACCTTATTCTTTTTTTTTCATTTTTGTGAAAACATATTAAAAACAACCTTGAATCACGTAATGAGCAAAAAAAAAAAAAAAAAACAAAAGCAATTACCTAAAGTGATTCACCGGTGACCGCTACTAACTTGTAATTTATAAAAAAAAAAAAAAAAAAAATACATAAAATTTAATTTTTAGCATTTAACATATACATGATTTTTTTTAAATACCAATTAATGATCTTTATCAATGATGGTGTGCACAGCTCTTGCCAGATGCAGTGTTCTAAAGTAAAATTGTTACCCATTTTATGAGTACACAGTGCCATCTACTGGTAACAACCATGCATAAAAGATCATTTAAGAGAGGGCAAAATACCTTCTAGGTCCTATAAAAAGAAGTTTTAAGTGAACAGGCAGAGAGATTCATTAAAAAAATTGTATGCAGAATCCACAGAGGGAGTTTAAATTCATAAATATATCCTCCCCCAACCTGGAGTTGGGGGAGTATATATTTATGAATCCCTATGGAATTATTTGTCAATACGTTTTGATGAACCAAATGTAGACATGGAAAGGGACATACAATTTATATTTTTAAGGTTTATTTTACACCCACCACCACCAACAAAAGGAATGAACATCTTACAAAGCGGGATTTTTGTTTTCGTTTTTAACACATACTAGGGCACCTAATAAAGGCTCAATTTATTTAAAAAAAAAAAACACGTTATACCTACCTGCTTTGTGCAAAGGTTTTGCACAAAGCAGCTTTGATCCTCCTGTTCTCGGGTCCCCCACTCCTGGCTCCTCCCTCAAGCTGCCTGTTGGGGAAGGGGGAGATACTCATGAGCGCTCACTCTGAAGCCCCGCTGGCTGCGTCCATAAACACAGACAGTGGGGCTCTGCTCCAACCCCTCCCGATGCCCTCTCTGAGCCAACGAGGTGGCAAACAGCTGAGACAGCAGCCACTCTCGATCACAGCGCTGGATCGTGATCAGGCTCAGTAAATTAGAATGCATGAAGGTGAAAAAATCTTCAGCCTTTACAACCTCTCTAGGGCCAACTCCATCCAAACCCTTTTCTGAGGATTGGTATAGGCCTGCTATTGTAAATATCATAATACACACATACACACACCAACACAGAAAAATAAGTATTGAACATTTTTCTAGGTAAATACATTTCTAAATATGCTATTGACATGACATTTTCACCACATGTCGGTAACAACTCTTGCAATCCATATATACTAAGAAACCAAAACAAGTAGGTTCAGAAATTAAGTAATGCGTAATAAAATGTAATGACACAGGGGAAAAAGAGTATTGAACACGCTAACCGAAATGTATTTAATACTACGTAAAAAAAAAATCCTTTGTTGGTAATGATAGCTTCAAGACGCCTCCTGTATGGAGAAACCAGTCGCATGCATTGCTCAGGTGCAATTTTGGCCCATTCGTCCACACAGTCTTCAAATCTTGAAGGTTTTGTGGACTTCTGATCTTTAGTTCTTTCCACAGATTTTCTATTGGATTCAAGTCAGGTGATTGGCTGGGCAATTCTAGCATCTTTATTTTCTTTCTTTCTTTCTTTGAAACCAACTGAGAGTTTCCTTGGATTTGTGTTTGGGATCATTGTCTTGCTGAATGTCCACCCTCATTTCATCTTCATCATCCTGGTAGATGGCAGCAGATTTTTATCAATAATATCTTGCTACATTTTTCCATTCATCCTTCCTACAATGATCCTTCAATGAAATTAAGTTTGCCGGTACTATAGGATGAAAAACAGCCCCACACCATGATGTTCCCACCTCCAAACCCCACTGCTCATATGGTGTTTTTGGGGTGATGTGCAGTGCCATTTGACCTCCAAACATGGTGTGTATTATGGCATCTAAAGCGTTTTTAGTTTTGGTCTCATCTGACCAGACTATATTCTCCCAGTATTTTACAGGCTTGGTTAAATGTTGTGCAGCAAACTTTAAACGAGCTTCAACATGCTTTTTCTTCAGCAATGGAGACTTGCGTGGTAAACATGCATACAGGCCTTGGTGGTTGAGTGCATTAAATTATCGTTTTCTTTGAAACAATTTTACCTGCTAATTGCAGGTCTTTCTGAAGCTCTCCACAAGTGGTCCTTGGCTCTTGAACAATTCCTCTGATAATTATTTTCACTCTGAATAATCTTGCAAGGAGCATCTGGTCGTGGCCGGTTTATGGTGAAATGTTGTTCTTTCCACTTCTGGATTATGGCCCTAACAGTGCTCACTGCAACATTCAGAAGTTTAAAAATCCTTTTGTAACCAATGCCATCAGTATATTTTGCAACAATAAAGTTGAAAAGGTCTTGAGATTTCTTTGCTTTTACCCCATCATGAGAGGTTTCTTGTGTGACACCTTGGTAATGAGACACCTTTTTATAGGCCATCAGTTGAGACTGAAGCAGCTTGCATTAAATTTGCACCGACAAGGGGCAGGATTGCTTTTTAAGCCCCCGGTCCTATCGGGTGCGATTTGGCATGCGATTTGCCACGTTGCACCCTATTTTCCGATTTCTAATGTAGTGCATGCACTACTTTTCTTGCGATCTACATAGACATCTGCGACAGATGTCTTGCAAATCTCAATGAAAATCGGCAGGTCACCCGATTTTGAAATCATGCGACTTCACTGTAAGTTGCACGATTTCATAATCGGCTTTGATGCGACCGGGGTGTAAACTACTGATAGATTGCAGCTGGTGTCTTGGCTTCCCATGCCTTTTTGCACCTCCATATAAATCAAAAAGTGCAGCGCTGGAAACAAACACTAAAATATAAATATAAACAGTTCATGTGATGATTTTGAGTGACATCAGGTGCCTTCATATACTCGTATCTTTCTGGTAGTAAGGTGCTGTGGGATAAGGTGCAGAAAGAATGCACACTTACCAGAACGCACAATTTAATGAGCGTTTGTGAATATGTTTCTCCTGTGGTCATCTACTGGTCAAGGATGATGTCTGGACTCTAAT